GCATTCCAGATTAGTCTGTGTCATCATGGACCCACTTGCTTTCTGGTTCCCCACTCTGCATTTCACAATGCCGGCTTTATCCTAAACGTGGTGTCCCTCAAGGCAGCAGCGTGACTGCACCTGCTCATGTTTGGTTTTCTTTTCTGATTATGCCATATTATCAATATGTGCCCCATTTTGACAAACAGAGCATGGAAGTTATAAAGGCTAGTATTCCAAAGACGGTTAATGTGAACAGAGTATTTAAATTAAAAAGCTTTACAGTCACAGAATCTACAGAAATTTAAGGACCAAAGTTAAACTGTCAAATCACTCAATAGAGTAAAAGAGTTGATCCAAGTAAAAATAATTATGTATAATTGCTTTGAGATATACATGTCTAAATTAAATTAATTCTTGAATTTAATTAAGTGATAAAGATTAAGGCTTAGGGCATTTGAGAATTAATGACTAGCTGGAAAATTTGATGACCCAAGCAGAATTTTAGCCCATTAACCTCTCTGGTCATTAATTCCCAGGGAAAAGCTGCACCAAGTTTGTACAGACATTCTGAGATCAAAAGCTTAAAAATAAACCAAGATCTTATTTTATTTTTATAAATGGTATAATTTCTTATTACAGCTGAAATGGCTATCTACAGAGCATTTCTAGAAAATTAATGACCTGTGTATTTATTCGGTGTGATGGGAAATATTTCTCAACACTCCATTCAGCTTGCAATTTTCAGTGAAAACCATTATCAATATTTAAACATAACATCCTTAAATATTTCTTATTTGCATGAAACTATCCATTAATGAAAAATGAAAGTCTGCCTTTAACTGAAAATGGAGATTTAACTGCCTCAATCTGTCACTTCTTAAGTACCACCTATTAATATTGATCATGAAATTCCAAGACTGCTAGAGCTGCATTCTTAGAGACCAGAAGGTGTGTCTCCCAAATTATAAAACAAACGAAAAATCAGTGAAGATAAAATGGAGCATATACTATAGAAAATGGAATAAGCTTTCCACGGGAATATCAGGAGGAAACTAGATTGAGCTTTAAAATTCACAGGTCATGATAAGCAAAAGTGGAAAATCAAGATTGAGCATCATGAGAAGAATGTGGTAGCATCCATTACTGTGTTGTGGCAGGAGCAGTTGTTTCTTGTCACATACCTGCTGCATTGACATCTGAATCAGCTTTCGAGCATGTACTTCTTGTCCTTGCCCCATTGAGATTGTTCTACATTCTGTAACATAGGAGAAAGTTCACTATGATCAAACATAAATCTTATAGCAGAATTAGAATGAAAAATTGATTTCTGAATGATTATAGACTCCTTCTATTGTTTCTAAGAAAAAAAAAATTTGCTGTTCAAACAGGCCTGGCCTTTGGTTTTGTGGATCAGAGAAATGCATGAAGCAGAAACCTGGAAAGGTGAGGGTAGGGGGCGGTCAGGAATGTTTTTTGGTAAACATACTTTTTTATGTACAAATTCATGTCACAATCATAGAGGCCATTTACTTCTTTCCAATATTGATGATTTTATTTCGTTGTCTGGTCTGATTGCCCTATCTACAACCTCCACTATAATGCTGAATACAAGTGGTGAGAGTAGACATCTTCATCTTTCTCCTGATCTTTGGGACAAGGCATTCAGTGTTTTACCATTAAGTGTGATGTTATCTATGAGTTTTTTGTAGGTGCCTTTTATCAGGCTGAGAAAATTTCCTCTTATTCCTAGTTTTCTAAGCATATTTATCAATGTTTTCAATGCTTTTTTTTTCTTTTTTGCATCTGCAATGGGGTAAATGTTTATGCTCCCCTAAACTTCTTATGTTGAAACCTAAATCCCAAGGTGATGGTACTAGGAAGCAGTATTAGGAGTGAGATTAGTGACCTTATAAAAGATGCCCAAGAGAGGCCTCTTGTTCCTTCCACCATGTAAAGACACAATGAGAAGGCATCTATGAAATAGGAAACAGGCCCTTATCAGATACTGAATCTGCCAGGGTCTTGATCTTGGACTCTCAACCTCCAGAATGTTGAGAAATAAATTTCTGTGGCTTATAAGCTACCCAGTCTATGGTATTTTGTTATAGCAGCTCAAACATACTAAGACAGCATCTAATGATATGACCATGTGGTTTTGGTGTGTTATTCTACTAATATGGTATATTACATTGATTGATATCCACATGTTTAACAAATCTTATACTCCTGGGATTATTCACTTTGTCGCAGCGTATAATGTTTTTATATGGTACTGCGCTTGGTTTGATGGTATTTTGTTGAGGATTTTGCTTCTATGTTCCTAAGGGATAATGGTCTGTAGTTTTGTGTGTGTGTGTGATGTCTTTGCCTGCATTTGGTATCATGGTAATATTGGTTTCAGAATAAGTTAAAAAGTGTTCCTTCCTCTTTTATTTTTTAGAAAAGCTTGAAAAAAACTAGTGCTATTCTTTAAAAATGTGCTGGAAGTCACCAATGAAGCCATCTCGGACTGAGATTCCTTTTGTGGGGATTTTTTTATTATTGAATCAAAAATCCATACTTCTTATGGCTCTATTCAGAATTTCTACATCTTCTTGAGCCAGTTTCAATAGTTATCTCTTTCTAATCCTTTTTCCATTTCATCTTGGTTATCTAATTTTTTTGCATAATTGTTCACAGTATTCCCTTAGGATTTTTTAAATTTTGGTGAGGTCAATAGTTACATCCCTCTTTCATTGCTGATTTTAGTAATCTTCACTTTCTCTTCTTCATTCTTGGTTGGTTTAGCTAAATATTTGTCAATTTTGTTGATTTTTCAAAAAAGATACTTTTGGCTTCTTGATTCTTTATTTTTCTATTATCTGGCTTTTTTCACTCAAATATTTATTATTTCCTTTCTTTTGACTACTTTGAATTTGGTTTGCTCTTCTAAGTTTCTTAAGGTAGAAAGTTGCTATTAATTTGTAATCTTTCTTCATTTAATATAAGGAATGAATATTTGATATCTTTTCTGAATGGCCTAGGGAAAAAAAAAAGATTGATTGGCATTGAAAAAGTGAGAAATCTTCCCAACTCAAGTAAGGAAAGGGGCCAATGAGACGAGGCAGAATAGGCTGAGTTTTTAGAGGCGGGGGGCAAGAACTGCCAAGACATCATAAGAGGGACACTCCCGAGAAGCATGTTTGCAGGGAACATTGGAGGAAGTGTTGCAGCTGATACAGTGTAATTAAACTTTGGTGGTTTGGGCTTGGTTTTAATTGTTTGTATTTGAAAGACTTTAGTAAAATTTTGACTGGCTTTATATTCCTTTCCAAAATTAGGCTTGTGTCCTTCCACATTTCTTCCTTTTTAGGACTTTTTATTTCTAATTAAATAATATATGTTCACATTAAAAGATTTGAAAAAATACAGGAGAGTATAAAGAAGGAAATGAAAATCAGCAGTATCCTTCCCTAGAGATCTTTATTCTAATCCTTTAACATGCATAATCCACAATCCCTTACCTTCATTTCAAAATTCAGAAAGGTCTGAAAATGGAAAATCAGCTTTTGGAGACAAAAGCTGACCCGAACAGACGTGAGGCTATGTGTAGTCTTTATTTATCCCTATTTTCCTGAATATTTATGTTCTTACCTGCAGTGTGTTACATAATACATGGAAAATCACCTTTCTAAAAATCAGAAAATTCTGATTTCTGAAACATATCTGGCCCCAAGAGTTTTGAATAAGGGTTGGTAGACTTATCTATATTAAATTTTATATACATATATATGTATTATACATTTTTTTTTGAGACAGAATCTTGCTCTGTCACCCAGGCTGGAGGGAGTGGTGCAATATGAGCTCACTGCAACCTCCACCTCCCAGGTTCAAGAGATTCTCATGCCTTAGCCTCCTGAGTAGATGGGATTACAGTCATGCACCACCACACCCAGCTAATTTTGTATTTTTAGTAGAGATGGGGTTTCTCCATTTGGTCAGGCTGGTCTCCACCTCCTGACCTCCGGTGACACCCACCTGGGCCTCCCAAAGTGCAGGGATTAAAGGCATGCACCAGCGTGCCTGGCTCCAGTGTGTAGTCTTTTATTCCTCACCCCCCTCACACCTTTTCTCCTGAGTTCCCCAAGTCCATTGTATCATTCTTTTGTGTCCTCATAGCTTAGCTCCCACTTATGAGTGAGAATATATGATGTTTGGGTTTCCATTCCTGAGTTACTTCACTTAGAATAATGGTCTCCAATTCTATCACAGTTGCTGCAAATGCCATTATTTCATTTCTTTTTCTACCATACAGAAGTTTTAAAATGCATCCAGTTACAGTATGTATCTTGTCTCTTTGGTTTTAGACTCAGGTATTATGATTTAAAAAGTCTTATCCACTCAATAGTATATAACTAATTGAATATATTCTTTTTCTTCTTTTATAGTTTAATTTAAAGCACTTAATGCCTTAATCAACCTAGAATTTATTTTAGAGTTTAATGTGAGGTAAAACTTTTATGTTTTCTAAAGTTAACCTGTTATCTCAATGCTGTTTACTGACTAACCCATTTTTTCTCCACTGATTGGAAATGCAAATCTTATCACATGTTAAGCTATTGTATATACAAGAATCTAATTTTGGCACTTTCATTTTGCTCCATTGATTTGTTTATCTACTCTACACCAGTTATATGCTGATTAAATTATTGCCATTTGATAACATTTAAAAAATCTGGTGGTGCTGGTTCCCCATTATTCTTCCTCCCCCATTTCAAGCTTTCTTAGCTATTCTTGTCCATTTACAATCCTAGAAGATCAATATCCCTCTACTATCCAACTAGAAAACAATGCTGTTTGAGCTTCAATTAGAATTGCTTTCAATTTATAGATTAATTTAGGGAATTTTGACATCTTTACAATATTGAATCTCTATACTGGGAATGTGGCTTACCTCTCCATTTATTCTAACTACTTTTATGTCTCTAAGAAAGCTTTATAGTTTTCTTTAAATGAGTATTTTAAGAATTATTCCTCAGTTTTATTTTTTATTGCTATAATGAAGAGGAGTTTTACATCTTATTTTACAAGAAAGTATCATTTTTTATATATTTATTTTGTAAACAGTCACCTCACTGAACTATTAGACTATTAAGTCTAATAGTTTTTTCATTGATTCATTTGTTCTTCGTTAGACAATTATGTTGTCTAAGAATAATGTTGATTTTGTCCCTCCTTTCCAGTAGTTACATCTGTTATTTATGATTCTTTCAATACATTAACTGTATCTTCTACAATACAATGCTAAATAACAGTGGCAATAGCAGACATCTGTATTTGACTTTAATGGATATGTCTCTAGTTGTTCACCAATAAGTATGATATTGATGTTTGAGGTTCACAATCATTACCATATAAATAAAATATCCTCTGTTCCTACATTTCAAAAGTCAAATATAAGTGTTGAATTTCTATAAAATGCTTTTATAGCACCCATCAAGATAACAGTATAATAGCTTAAGGAAAATTCTTTCTCTTATTGTTGTGATGAGATTTCTTAATACTGCATCTTCTTATATTTGTCCATGTGTTTGAACTTGGACAAGGCACATTATTATTTGCAAGTTATTTTTTGATGTTCTACTGAATTCTTTTTCAAAGTCATATTCTGTTTTTCATTAACATATAATGATTGTACATATTTATGGGGTACAGTGTGATGTTTCAATACATGTATACATTGTATAATGATCAAATCAGTTAATTAAGATATCCATCACAACAATTTTCATTTCCCTGTGTTGAGAGCATTCAATATTCTGTCTTCTAGCTATTTTGAGCTATATAATACATTTTTTACAATAAATTGTTGTTAACTATTCACTTTACTGTACAATGAAACACCAGAAATCATTCCCCCTCCCTACTACCCTCTCTCAGTTTCTGGTAGCCACTATTCTGTTCTAATTCTAAGAGATCAAATGCGTTAGATCCCAAGAGTGAGATCATGTGGTATTTGTCATTCTATGCTCAGCTTATTTCATTTAGCATAATGCCCTCCATATTCATCCATGTTGTCACAAATGACCTAGTGCCATTCTTTTTTATGGCTGAATATTATTCCATTGTGTATATGTACCATGTGTTTTAATCCATTCATTTGGTGATAGACACTTAGGTTGATTCTACATCTTGGCTATTATGAACAGTGCTGCAGTAAACATGGGAGTACAGATGGATACCTCTTCAACATACTGATTTCACTTCCTTTGTTTT